TATATCAGGTGACCGTTAAGGCCCATGGGCCTCTTGTTTCTTTAATTGACCACTGGGAAGTTAAATGATATTTGGTCAGTACATTGTGCTAGCAAGTTTGGTTTAAGAGTTAAATATTGCAAATCTGTTCAAATGTGTTTTCATGGTCACAGGAATCAAATGTGATGATATAGGCCAAGAGGCCTATATATGGTCATGATATTTGACATCAAGTAATTGCTAGGCAGAAGGTCAATCAAGTTTGTTCAAATGAATGACCTTAATCATCTTTTTTTTGTAAGGTCATTATCATATTTTTTTTCTCTGTTTTCCAGCGTCAATCCAGATCTTCTGACAGAAGTCACGTTTGGGTCACATTTGGAGTATCCTGATGGATCAGTGCCCAGTAAGTACACGTTTAATATAATATAGCGTTAATGGAGAGTTACAGAAAATACTGTTTCTGGAGTGAAAAGCCTCTATCTTATGAAAATTTTATATATACAATATACAAAAACAGTTTTTAGCTGAAATCTTGCCACATTCTCATTGAGATTTAGACATCTTTTTAAACTTCAATTTAGCAGAATGCAGTTTAATTTCCGAATGTTTGTTATTAATGCTTTATAACAGATCTAGAAAAGCTTTAGAAAACCCTGCATTCTCCGGGGGAAAGAGAGAAAATCAATTAAGACAATTTGATTCAGTCATTGATACTTTTTTGGTGGCTGTGCTATATGAACCTTTCTATAATTCCTGATTATGCGATATACAATGTATTGTCATACGAAACCAGACATGTTGCTGATGCTGGTCTGCCGAGTCTGGCACAACTAAAACAATAACACAGAATGTACAAGTGTTTAAGAATTACAAAATGAAAACCTGTATTTTGTTAACTCATTAAACTAAAAACAAGCATCGAACAGATGGAATAAAAGACTGGATTTTGAAGGAGAAATTTACACGTATATTGACAAAAATAGCTGCAAAGTACATTATCATGTGGCTGAAAATGGTACACAGTATAATATCCTGGTGTATAGTTAACTGTGAAAGCCTTGTGAAGACTATGATGTGACCTGGAGATTCTCCAGCACTTGTATCAAAGCTTTCATTTAGATAGTTGTGACAGATATTTCAATAAACACTTTGCACAAGAGGGTGATAAATTACAACACTTCACCACTCTCTCCTCTCCTGGGAATCATAAACTGAGATGTACAGTACTTTATGAGTGTGTTTATCAATAATAAATGGTGGCGTTGATTTAGATGGACCCCTCCATAGTTTATGACATGTAATGAATAACAAAAGTGCAGGATCATTTGGTACGGTGTTGGTTACATTGTACATTACAACAGGTAGTTATATATACTTAGTTACACCCTTGTTATCTAATTAGTAAATGGGTTATATGCATATCATCATTTATTGCAAAAATGATAATCAAATTATCAAAATAAAATTAATTAAAGAGAAATGCTAAAGAAAATGAAGAAATAAAGTAAAGTTATTTCAGTAATTTTAAATCTGATGAATTAATTATTCTTTTTAAGTTGTGCACAATTACCGCAGATCCCGTTTGTAGATGATCTGTAAGACATCATTGATGTCTTTTTAACATGTTGTATTTAATTTTTGATATAATGTAGATGGAATTCTCACCCATATTTTGACCATTGTAGTGTTTGCCAAGACCAGTAATGGAAGGATGTCCCCAGTACGAGCCAGAACCATGAAGGAATACGACCAGGTACATGTTAAACCGTAATGATAGACCACATGGGGAACACCAAGTATATAGGTCAAACAGAGGGAAAAGTGCAACTGCAGGTCATTTTGTTCTGGAGGAGATGATTAAAGATAAGAGATGGGAGACAACTCCTACTTTAATGTTTATTCCTTTGTGGAACATGTACAAGACTAGTTTACTTTTCCCACTTTTCTGGGTAATATATTGAAATAGCTATACAACACATTTGCACTATACCACAGTTAAAATCTGCAGTAGTAAAATAAATACATGTGTAAGTATTATATGTAGAGATCTTTCTAGTACATTGTATTTACATATATGTATTAAGACATGTTTCCTGTGTGTTAACAGCAAATTGCAGTCCTGAAGAAGGAGAACTTCAGTCTGAAGCTAAGAATTTATTTCCTGGAGGAGAGGATGCAGCAGAAATTTGGAGATGGGGAGGATGTGTTTAAGACTGTAGGTTACTCTTGTAGTGAATGAGATATGAAACCCTTGATTCTAATTTGAAACCCTTGATTGCTAAACCATATCATAAGTGCAACATATCGGCTTTAATATGCCTATTCTATCAGGTCAATTTTGTTAGTATATAAAAACCATTCAGTGTGAAAGATTGAAACAGTTTATTTAGTCAAAGAAAAACGACATAAAACAGAAAGGCTGGATAGTCTCTGTAAATAATTTGATAATGAAATCTAATGAAAATGTCCAATATTTGAGGCTTAAATCAAAGTCGGGCTAGAGCCAGCAACAGTTATATCCCTAGTGTGTTATGATAAAACTTAACCTGAAATTAAGACTTGCATTTACTCCTATGATCTATTTATAGTATAAAGAGTTGTTGTTTGAAGGTTATACTTGTACCTGACATATGTTTTTGTGTGGTGTATACATGTAACTGTTGATTGCTATGATACCTGAATGTTTTACCTGCTCCGTTTTACAGAATATCGAGCTGAAGGTCGAGTGCGAGAGCCTGAAGCGAGAACTGGCCGACAAACACAACTTGTTGAAGAAAGCCTCGTAGGTGTTTGTATGTTGTGACTGATTCAGAATGCCTGCCTGACTAGGCTTGGGAGATATTTAAGGATATAGGCCATCTTACAAATTACACCTCTTTTTAGTACAATTTATGATAGTTATCTCCCCTAAAATAGTTTCACATGTAATTACTTGAGTGTGATTATGCGCACATCCTTGCCAACCTTTCATTTGTTTTATATAAAGAACGAACTTAATTTTTTCAGCATTCATGAGGTCATAACAGCAATACGATGCCATGCCATTATCAGAAGTTTACCATACATTGACTGTAGTTCTGTTGAAACATGGAAAAAAAAATCCAAGTTAAGATCAAAATACCTGTATTTTCGTTGATAAGAAGTAGGCTGATGTTAAAGATATAAAATAAGCAGTTCATGTATTTTCTCTAGGAATGCTATGGAAAATCTGTCAAGTAACCACCAATCAGAGATGGCAAAGATACAGGCACAAGTAGAAAGAGATTTCAAAGACTCTAACAATGGGCTGGCATATCAACTTGACTCTGCTCAAAAGGTAGGTGTACTTTTATAGGAAAGAGGAAGTTTCACTGAACTATATATTGAAAATTGAAGAGATAGATTTCTCCTCCTTTCCCTCCAGAGAAAGAGAGATGTGTTAACTTTTTTTCCAATAAAAATCTACACCAATTCAGGAACACGTCATATGAAAAACTTACTCCATGAACAAAAAAACTTTTACTTAGTGATTTTGTCTATTTTAAAGGCCCATTTTGAAGCAGAAGAGGCTCTTCAGGACAGCAAGGACAAGATACAGGAATTACAGGGGCAACTTGACAAGATGGCCACAGAGGTCAAAGAGGTGCAACAAAAGGGAGATGACTATGTGAAGGTAAAGGTCGGAAGCAGCAAGTGTTTTCTTATAATCCAAGTCTGACTATTTCTAAACTTAGTGACCCGTCTCTTTCAAAGACACCTGTATTTAAGGTATTACTTTCCAGTATGCTAGTATATATTTGTGCAGCTTGTAGATTTGAACAAGTCAGAAAAAATGCTTTGTTCAAGAACAGATGAACAATGCCTTACTGCTATTCAATACGCAAGTCCATTTCAAATCTATGATGACATGTTTTTAGCTCACCTGGTCCGAAGGACCAAGGTGAGCTTATG